ACAGCGGTTTTGACGATGGTGGCTTTGACAATGGCGGCCTTGAGGATGGTGGCTTTGAAGATGGTGGTTTTGATGATGGCTATGGTTCCCCTTATTATTAGCCTGTTTTACATTACAACCCTCTTTCCTGCTTATCAAAATTTGATTTTTTTATCTTCAACCTATTCATCATTTCTACCATTTTATTTTATTTTTATTATTTTTTATCTTTCAGCCTCCTCAACCTTTCCCCACCAATTTTTCTTCAAGGTTGAGCTTATTTTGATTATTTTTTTTTCCATCTTTCTTCATTTTCTTTCTATTTTTTCTCAGCTTGTATGTAGTTAGGACCTCCCCGGCAGGTGTCTTGGAGCCTTGCCGAGGGGGTGGGTGTTGTGACCCAGCCGGAGGAGACTACATCCGTCTCCTCCGGGCCACACCTAGTGGAATACATACCGATATACACACTGAAGCCCCTACAGTAGTATCACCAGAGCTGAATAAATCCAGCCCTTACGTTTGGAAGTAGTACCATAGCTGACCTACTGGATATAGAGGTATCACTAGGAGCTGAATGATTTCAGAACTTAGTACACAGAAAGCAAAGAATGGAACACAAGAAGAATGGCAATGAAAGGGAAAGTTGATCCCAAGAAAGGGTGAGCCTGGTTGGGTGGACAGATTGGAGTCAAAACACAGAGATTTCAGTGATTGAACACAGGGTGGACTGGCAGAAGTCCCATTAATAAGAGTCTGTTTGAAACCATCTGGTAACAACTTTATTCAAGATTTCCATTTTTTTTTTTTTTTTTTTTTTTGATTCTTATCCATCTTACCAAGTCTTGTAACTTTGATTTTGTGGTCTGAGGTTCTGGAATCCGAAAATCAGCATGTAAATATTACCTGTCTACCAGCAGTGGGTAGCTACTTCACTTCACAATACCTGATTGACTTTAGTGAAGCAACTACCCAGTGCTACTATTTCCACCATTATCATTAACCATAAGATGAAAATGGATGGCATAACATCTGACATGACAGGTCTCTTCATTATCCAGGTGCACTGACAACACATTACTGCGCAACAAAAGGCCACACTAGCCCTAACTTAACCTTTCAATGATCCTCATCTTGTTGAGGGAAACCAGGGACTGAAAAACACTGACTGATGTCGAGACTCACAAGAGACGTTTGACAGTGAGAATTATATTATGATTCAGTGAGGAGAGAGTGTTGAATGGGGTCCAGTAAATCAGTAGTAATGGACAGCTTGATATCAGCATACCTAAGTACAAGCATAAGAGTACTACATACGGGATTGAACCAATCCAACACATCTCATGGAATGTGTGCTGATTTGTACTCAAATATGGTCACAGCCTTTAAAAAGCCTATTCTCCCCTTGTAGAAATATTGATTTGCACCGCCGTTACCAGTAACAATAACAATAACAGCCAATGGCTGATTATTTTGTGAGAAAACACTGGAAAATACATTGTCCTCACAGGTAGGCAAAAGGCACCCATGTCAGCACCCCCAATCTGGGCAGATTATCAATCTGGATGTATCCCCTCTCTTGGGAAGAGGCCTATGAATAATGCAATGCATAATAGACAAACGTGGGTAGAAGAAGAAAGTATAGGATTTGTTGTGTGTGCTATTAGGTTATGAGGATGTAATTTTTTTGTTTTTGGTTGGATCCATAGTTGATAAAAAGGAAAGGATGTTAATGGGAAAAGTGATAAAAACGACTCTTTTCTTCTTTTTTTTTTTTTTTTTTTTTTTTTGGGGGGGGGGGGGGGTATTTTGTCATGTGAACATGTAGACAGAGTGTGAGTGTGTGGATAGAGAAAAGGAGTATGTAGACAGATGAAGGCATGGAGAAGCTAGGGCAAGCGAAACCCCCAGAAGTAGCCAATATAGCTGTAAAAAAGCACGAGATATGTGGTGTAGAAAGCCAGGAAGCCATAGATGGTCCCTTTTTGCCATGGTGGGAGACTTGCAATTTTTTCGCATATGCTTTGATCTGGATGGTCAGAAGATGATGGCGATCCATGAGGATGAGGACTTCTTTCCACTGAAGCTGTGGACGCCGTCTGTGCCAGGATTCTCTCGTGTTTCCCGTCCTCAACAAAGGTCAGTGAGTTTCCCGTGTTTGGGGAAGAGCTCTCCCCAGGGCCAGGATGATGGGCAGACAATAGTGGGGCCGACTCGGTCATCTCCACCAAGCACTCGTCTTCTCGTGCTTTCCCGAGCACCGAACCTGATCCGGCTGAATCTCCCCTCCAAAACCCAAGCCTCCGAAAACCCCAAGACTCTTTCCGCGAGGATCGAGACTCCCTCGCCTCTTCCGGGATATTGATGGCAACATTCCACCTGAGGCTGGGGTTGTCCTGGATTGCCAACCATGAACATCATCAATGAAAAACTGTTTTTTTTTTTTTTTTCAGCCGAGCAATATTATAAGAAAATTCACATTTTGGTTCAAGAGATGCTTGGCAACAGATGGAGCATTGAAGCCTCGAGATTCTTGCTTTAGAGGGTAAGTTTGGGCCGATGAATCCAAGAGGACCGTTGGATCGGAGGTGTGCTGAACGCAGTTGAGGGTACCGCGGGCAGGCTCTACGTCCACGTGTATTGAGGCGAGGTCCAGATCTAGCTTTGGCAGCTCATCGTTTGCGGAACAGAGTCCGAGCTGGTGATGATTGTCAAGAAAGGAGTGCGAGTGTGTTAGTCCCCAAGCCCATCAGAAATCGGCAGCCATCGTATTTTTCATTATAAACAAACAGCGCTTAACTACAAAGATCATGATCATCACCCTGGAAAGCATGGCGACTCAGTCAAGTTACGGGAATGATGTGACTGGAATGGGCAAGTATTGGATTCAATCTAAGCCGCTGATTATAATAAGTCTTATTGAGAACCTGTTAATTGCAGAGCTTTAGTTTGCGCTTCTGGAGTCGTATATTTTCGTTTTCAGAAAAGAAAAAAAAAAGCAATAGGGGCCCAAGGTGGGGAGACATCAAACCAGCCAGAAACTTTGGCAAGACTCTATACATACATCAATACAAAGCCCGAAAAAGTGGGAGGATGGTCGGGTCGGGCCAGGCAGGGAATGTCCCGGGAGAGCCGACGACAGCTTGCGCAATCCATCATACTCCATTGTAACTGCTCAAGTTCCCAACCAATAATCAAGAGCAGGATTTGGTAAGAGTCGCAGAGTTTGTTTTCCCTGCCGCTTCAAGTCTGAGATTAATATGATTGTGAATCTTCGGGATCATTTTTTTGTGGGCAATGGTCCTAGCTGTGGCGGACTTCGCGTAATTCCTCTGACACCTGTACCATAATATTCCTCTGTATGACGTAACTCAATTTTTGTTTTATCAGTCAATGGTCCTACACTGTTGGTCTGCGCCACACTGCGCCTACATATCAACATTATCTATCTAACTGGGCCTGGTCACCGGTGTGTTTGACATGAAACTTAGACATGGTCAAAACAAACGTGATCGGACTTACAGGACAGAAAAATAACATAAGCCCCGCGTAAGTCAATATGATCTCAAGAACAAAAATAAAAAATAAAAAACAAATCAGATGGGAAGGATGGCAGGGGGAGAGAAGACGAGAGAAGAGCTACACATCTGGATATATAATCCATAATAATAATGATCAGAAAGGAGATGATTTGAGATCAATCAACAGTGGATGTAAATATGTCGACAGAGAGCCAGGGTGAAGCTACAACCAAATTACAAGCGAGTGACCAAGAAGCCCAAGGTATATCTATATAAAAGCAGACATACAAAACGTAAAGCGTACACGGATGAAATGGATGTATATATATAAGTATGTCAATGCAAGGATAGTCTATCAACGAGTAAGCACAAAACGGACAAGCGGACGATGATCGATGGATCGTGCGTGTTTGTGTGTGGGCTGGTTGGAGGAAGTGGACGTATGTATGAATCGGCGGGCGAGATCAGAGATGGGGCCTTCTCTTCTATGCATCTGGTGTCTGTGGGTATAAAGATCTCGTCCCCCCCAAAAAAAACGAAAAGAGAAATCTGCACTTTGTACGAGTCGTCTTTCTTTCTAGTTATCGGATTGTCTTTCTGTATATGTATGTGTTTGTGTGTGTGTGTGAATGGAGGAAGCGGAGACGAGTGTAGGAATAGGGTGTGTTCAAGTACATCCTTCTCCCGCCGCGTATAAGCCATTCATTCGTCTTCTCCGACGCCGATCACGTTCCTTCTATTTCCTTCTGATACTCTTTTTTTCCGCCTGCTCCTTATCCCTTCTCTGTCCTTCTTTCATATGGTGGCTAATTCTTCATAGTAGAGATCAATTCTTGATGGCCCATTTCTTAATCAATCCTTCACTGTAGACAAAGAGATGAAACAGAAATGAGAGACAGTAATGGGGAGGGAGAAGAAGGAGAAGGAGATTTAGAGAGGTATGAAGGATGGGCTTAACTAGAGGGTCCAGCCGATAGCCGAGCTGAGGCTTTTCCTGAGCAACCGAAGCCCGGATCCTTTGAAGAGGATTCTAGAGTTCGAGAGTCGGCCGTTAAGGATGAGTTTGAGAGCCTGGAGGATGGAAGGATTATGACTAGAAGACTGGCGGAGTTGGAGGTCAGTTTTGAGGAGGTCGAAGGGGGCAGTGAGGAGGGTGGCGACGACGGCGGCGGCGGTGGCCGGGACGGTGTGCAAAAGGATCGGATAGCGTTGGCCGGGCTCCACGAGGAGCCGCTTGGTGGCTTCATAGGCCGAGATGAAAACCCCCGCAAACGGCGCATCTCGTAGTGCTGTCGGGATAAACCCTCGCCATAATCCTTGCAGGCCTTGGGTCCTCATGATCTCTTGGAATGCCGCTCGGATACTTCGGTATTCGTATAAATTCGACTGTCATACACACACAGAGACAAGCGTCACCAAAAAAAAAGGGGGAAGGAATCTCAATTTAAGTGAGGAACACGCGTGGATGAGAAGTGAGAAAGCTTACTTCGAACCTCGTTTTGACAACGGTGACAGGCATCAAGACGAACCCGACAGAAGTCCGAGCCAGGACGCCAGCGAAGAAGTCGCCAGTGGGAGTGAGAGTAGGAAGGATGTTGGGTTGATGGAGGAGGTGGAGTGGTTGCGACTGTTGAGTAAAGATGCTTATGGATGACATGCTCGTCCTAAGTTGGGCTAGCCCGAAGAAATATGCGGCAATCCCGGGTACATTCCTTCTCATAAAAAAAAGACACTCCTTCTTGAATCAGTTATTGATAGATTAGATAAATGCAAGGGAAGAAGAAGAAGAAAGAAGAAGTGGAGGGTTTGCTCTGACCGGATGATCGTCGGCGAGGTTCCTCTCCATAGTCCTAGGATCCCATCACGCGAGATGACTTCGGAAGAAAGCCGATAGATCGACGGTCTACTAGACAAGCAGATCGATCGAAAGCCGTCAATGATGATGCTTATTGGTCGAAATGAGTGATATAAAATAAGAAAGTAGTTCTACCTTGTTGAAGAAGAAGAAGGGTTTGAACTGATATGGGCCTGTTGGAGTCTTGTCTTGAGCACTGGTTGCAAAGTAAACGTATATAAGTCTCAGGATATGATCAAGAGGAAAGGGAAAGGGAAAGGACTGACGATCGAATGGTTGTAGTAGGACGCAAGAGGCCAATCCAGAGAGTGCACCCGACAAGAGGTGAAGACTGATGGGGGGGAGGCTGAGCTTGCTGTTGTTGGTCGGTCGGTCAGCCATCAATAGAATGGTAGTTGTACTATTTAAATAGTAGGATCGGTTCCAGTAGGATGGCGACTGAAAGTGGTTGTTGATAAATATGTTCAAGCTTCCTACAGATAAAGATCTCCTTTGGATTCTCAATACAATGTAACAACAAGATGTTCTACAATCCTTTTTCTTTTTTTGAAATGGAGAGTATCTTCAATCATCTGCCCCCCCCTTGGATGAGAACACACTTGACAAATCTTACATAAATAATACATAGTTCCCTTTGACATCACCTTACTCCTATTCGAACCTTCCTCACCAGAAACTACACAGACCTCATCTACACCGGCCAACATATACATATTAACCGTCGAAAAAGCCCACTTTCTGTCTGGAAGAAACACTCAACCCTTGCAAAAAAAAAAATCAAAGCTTGACCAAAAAAAAAAATGGTCCAAATATAAACGACTACGCGACCAAGTTATTCTACAGATGCTTTAGAAAACTGAGAGAGTATGAGGAGAACACAGTATAATTGCATCACATGGTGTCACTATTATAACTCATAATAATGTAGTCGAGTCATCCAGAATGGGATGGATCTTGATCTCAAAGCAATCATTTGGTGCATCCCCCCCCCCCGGCACACGAAATATAAGAAACAACACTGATTGATTTGTTAAGGGAGTGCAAGTTACTTTTTCTTGGTATGTATAGTTGAATATAAGAGACAAGAGAAACAGGAGTAGTATGTACTGCTATCTAATATTAACGGATCATCAAGAAACACTCATTTTGCCAATCGGGGAGGAAGGAACTGATCAAGAAGAAGGAGAGAATTTAATCTGAAAAAAAAATGAGTAACCAAAAAAAAAATTGACCAAAAAAAAGACAAGCACAAAAAAAAACCCTAAATCAGTATGATAATACAGCCCAACGAGAGAAGAACAAAAAATCAAGGAATACAGAGAGAAATGGGGGACGAACGTGATGATGATGATGAGAAACAAGCTGTCCAAGAATACGATCGCGAGGAACGAGTGTATCGACGGAGGAGTGAATGACCGAGACGAGACGAGGGCTCGACTGGACGAGGTTTTCCTGGGGAAGCTCGACGCAGTCTTCGTGGAGATCCTGATGGACAGGAGAAGAAAGAAGCCGAGAGCCGGAGCGACGGAGGAGCAGATAGGCTTCTTCATGCGAGCTGCAAGAAGGCGTGCGTTGATCACTCGTCTGCTCTGTGTCGCGCTCCTCGGGCTCGAGGATCTTCTCGGCTCGGAAATGACCCGGCTCGACATCCAGTCGGATTCGTTCCTCGACCTCGACCATCAGATCCGTCGATCTACAAAAAAAAACATAAATTCACATGTTTCCAATTCTCGTTAGATCATCGTTTTTCCGTTGCCTGCGAGATGTATGGATCGGAGAAGAAAGATGTATTTAACTGATGTGGTCGAAGAATAATCATCCGTCGCTTGACCACTTTGTCCACGACCTCCTCTTCCTCCTCTTGATTCTCTTGATCTTGATCAAGATCAAGTAGACAATCCTTATTGGGTCTCTTTCGAATGACTTCATAAGTCGTCAACGTCGACTCTGGATCTTCTTCCTTTCTCACCGGATCGGTAGCTTGTTGTTGGTGTTTTGTTGGATCAAAAGATACATAAACTTCAGTTTGTCTTTCCTCCTCTATTTCTCTTTCTTTTTCTTCTGTCTCATTTTCGATAGCTTGATGCTGTTGTTGTTGTTGTTTCTTGGAAAGGATTCTTGATTTGATCGGATGTCGTCTATTCCCCCGAAAAAATGAATCACATAATGATCAGTAGGATGTTTTTTTTTTTTAAAAAAAAGGGTTGAGTGGAGATATAAAAGGAAGGTTACTGACGAAGATTTGAGGAAGATGAATTGAGGTGTCTTGCGTGAGGGGGAAATAAAGTTTGAAGTCCAGAAAGATCGGAGGTGATGAATGAGGCCATGTTGTTCATCAAGATGCTGACCAAGAGGAGGCGGAGGAGGGGAAGGGATGAGCAAGGACTGATCGAGCAAAGGACTGGATGAATCCTTGGCTTTGAGATAATGACCTTGACTGGACGATCAATCGATTTCAGTCTTGGGCTTGTAAAGGTGATGTGAGACTTGATGACTCACTAGATTTTACATTCTATGGTGCCTTTTTCAGTCGAATCAGAGATCGAAAGACTCTGGTTGATCCAGTCTTGTAAACTGATCAGATCTGAAGATGATGAACGTCTAGATGATCGGATAAGACAACAACTGGGTTTAAGTTTGTGGCGATTGAATTAGGGAGATGGGGATTTACCTGGTAAGGATTGGTAAACTTGATGACAGCAAGTGATCCAAGTCGATTTGATCAAGCAAATCAGAACCACGAGATCCCTGAGACTGAATACTGCTACTGGTGGTGATGGTGGTGGTAGAAGGGCCGGAAGCGGATGTGAATCTGCTGAAGCACTTGTGATCGAAGGCCAGGTGATGAGGCCATTCCAATTCGAACGGATACGAGAACGGCAGAAAGCCTAGTGGACTGTTGCTTGTTGCTGGGATGTCGATCAGCAATGGTGTATGGTCGTATTCGGTGGACTTTTCAAATCAAGAAGGATTAGTTTGCGTTCCTTGTGGAATTTGAAATTTTCACTCAACTAGGATCCTAAATCTTTGGACAACATCTGAGACTCTTTTGGCTAGGTTATTTGGATCGAAGGCGCAGGCAAGCAGGGTGTTTTTCTGATGATAGTAATGGTCAGTGTACTTACATAGGGAGAGAGAGTATGTAGGTGAGACTTACTTGGGCATGTTCTTCTGTTTGTTCCAGGTAGCAGTTAGCGAGTTCACCCAGATGATTGAGTGTGATGCTACTGAGTTCTTTTTGAGGAGGGAGATGGACGAGTTGCTTGTGGATGGTCCTCCTGGTTCTCTCGAAGTCAGTCCAAAACTTGAGCCGGTCTTTCATCTGACCAAAGACGGTCAACTGCTCCTGTTGGAGGGAGAGGCTGATGGTGACATTGTGAGCTCGAGCTAGTCTGTCGACCAAGTTGTTCTTTGAAGGGGTGGCTGTTCGTTCTAGTCTGAGTAGGAATGTTTCCTGGCTGGTGAGTGGGTGGGTTTGTTGGTTTGATCTGAAGTTCCTGAGCAGTGATTTGAATGATTGGTCGACTGGTATCTGGGCTGGGTTAGTGAGTGACCAGTGTTCGAATAGGATGAATGAGATGAGTGAT